GATTTTCTCGGTTTCTCGCCTCCTTTAATGCCCGTTTTTGCAGCGTCTGCCCGACCTGAAGACGTTCATCTTCAACGAGTTGCCGCGCGTGACGCCGCTGTTCGTCTACAACCTCCTCAAGAAGCTCACCCCGCCCAAGCTGAACACCGTCGAGACTGATGTCGGTATTTTTAGGATTTTTTAGGCAGAAATTGGTCATTGTAATCGATTACGCTAGGGAATTTCAAATTTATAAAATTTCGTAGCGTAACTGGTTAGGGGACACCTTTTTTGCCTTGCCGGTCCCTTTAAAATGGCTGTAACCGGAGAAATCGCTATTTTTAATCGATTACGCGTGGAAAATTGGACGAATTCTCTTGCGTAACCGATTGAAAATGGCTTTTTTTGGCTTTCCAGCCCCTTTAAAATAACTCGTTAAAATCGGCGGTGCCGTTTTACTTGTGTAACTGGTGGAAAAGGGGCGCATTTTGCCTTGCCGATCCCTTTAAAATGGCTGCAAAGGGACGAATCGCTCTTTTTTTAATAGATGACGCGTGGAAATTCTGCGAATTTCATGGTGTAACCGGTTGAAAAACCACTTTTTTTTGCTTTCCGGTCCCCTTAAAGTACTCGTTGAAATTTTGGTTTGTAGACCATTTTTTGCCTTGCCGATCCCTTTAAGATTCGTTTTAAAGGGAGGAATCGCTCTTTTTAATCGGTTACGCCTGGAAATTCAACTAATTTCCTAGCCTAACCGGTCGAAAAATTTTTTTTTTTTTTGCTTTCCATACCCTTTAAAATGGTGTTTTTTTTGCAGGTGGTATGCCGTCCGGAGATCCTTCATTTCATCACGGACTACTATCGAATGCCAGATCTTCAACATGTCATCCTGCATACCGATCATTATCCAGGGGAATTGATCGATATCCTCGCACGAAACTATCGCTCATATATGGTCGACACCGTCGGATTGCCCAAGGTATCGCAATTTTTCCGTTTTTCCCGAACTTCCCGGTTCCTTTAGTCTCAAAATTTTTGTCTAGACTTAGTCAAAGCCTGGGGGTCGATTTTAACCTTCTCAGCTCCTTTAAAATTCCTTCCTGGCCCTTTAAATTTGTGGAAAATGCGCTTTAAAGGGCTGCCGACGGCATGTGTCGATCCCCCCCCCCCCATCAATAAATTGGCAAGTAGCCAACAGGGCAGAGAGCGCGCCCAGGGGGGAGGCGCAGAGACATTTTCTTTCCCGCGCGTAATCGATTGCATTAGCCCTCTAAGGTGCCTGAAAACGGTTCGTCTAGAGCTATATTCCTCGGGGTAGATTTTTGTCGCTTTCGAGCCCTTTAAACTGGTGGAAAATCATTGTCTAGACCTAATGGGATTTGGGGTAGATTTTTGCGGTTGTCAGCCCCTTTAAAATTCGAAAGCTAGACAGCCTAAACGAGAAAATCTCGTTGTCTAGACCTAGTCGACTTGATGGTCGATTTTTGCGCTTCCCAGCCCCTTTAAAATAGGCGATTGCCTAAAAATGGTTGTCTAGACCTAGTGTTTCCTGGGGTCGATTTTTACGCTTTGGCGCCCCTTTAAAGTTTTAAAATTGACGGAAAAGTTTGTCTAGACCTAGTTTAATTGGGGGTTGATTTTAAGTTTTCCGGGTTCCTTTAATATCGACAATACATATTATTTTTTCCAGTTCCGTACAGCGTACATGATCACGTGCCATTGGCGTCGAGCGGATGCCCCGCCACCCGATCGTCGATCTATCCTCGACACAAAGCACCCGCACGTACGTTTTTTTACTCTATTTAGCGATTTCAATCGAAAATCGGCTTAAATTTAAAAAAGCAAAAAATTTGGCGCGGCCGGGAGTCGAACCCTCGACCCTCGGATTGATAGACTAGCTCGCTATCCACTCGGCCACAGCGTTTGGTGTGAATTTTTTTGCTTCATTGATCCGATTGAGTGACGAATAAAATATGCTGTATTTTTATACGTTTTAAGTAGTTTCTAATTCCTAGAAAATTAGCAATAACCTTTAAATTTTTGAAATTAAAATTTTGGTTTTTTTTACCAGGTTTTTTCTAAAAAAACGTATATTAGAAGTTGTCTAGTAAAATTGACCCATATCTCTCCTCAATTTCCGAAAAGCAAAAATTTTGCCGCGGCCGGGAGTCGAACCCTGGACCCTTCGCTTGATAACCTAACTCGCTAACCACTCGGCCATCAATTTTTCTCATTTTTTTCTGAAAAATCAATTTTTCTCGGTTTTTTCCTATAAAACCCCGCATTTTTCAGGTGAAGCCGCAGCGCGGGTCAAAACGTGGCGAGCTGCGCGAATGGCCAGCCTACGGGAATGATTGAGAGGAGAGCAAGAGAATCGGGAGCGGAGAGGCAATTTTATTGATTTAAAATTGGTGTATGATGTGCTTGTGATTTAATTGTTTCTTTTTTTGGAGCGCTCTGCTCTCTTTTCGGGTTCCCAGTCTCTATCTATCTATCTGCCCTGTCTCTCTCTAGTCACACCAAACGGGTTCCTCCCTCCCTTTGATTTTGGCATAATCGGGTCGTCCTCATTTTATTGGGGCCAATTTTTACATGTCGTAATCGGTTTTCGGAAAATCGGGATTTTCGGTATTTTTTAAAATCCGAAATTTTCGAAAGATAAAGAAATTCGGCGGTTTTTGGTAAAAATCAAATTTTGTCGAAAACGTCGAATTTTTACGAAAATCCCGTTTTTCGGGGTGTTCTAGAAAAAAAAGCGGAATTTTCGCGAAAATACCGAATTTCGGCTCCTCGAAAAATTCGTAGAATTTCGGTATTTTTGCCGTTTTTCTTTGAAAATCCCGAATTTCAGCATTTTTTACCGAATTCGAAAATGTCGGCATTTTCGGAAAATCTAAATTTAAAATTCGGCAAAAATTCTACAAAATTTCCGTCGACATTTTTCGAAAAAATTTCCCCAATTGTCGAGCTCGGCTTGCCCCGTTCCAAAAATCTCTCCAATCTCTACAACGGGTATGTAAAAAACAAACAATTAATAAAACCATAAATCACCATCACCGCACGGCATTCCCTTCCTCCCTTTCTCTCGCTCTCTTTCGTGTCACTTGTCTCTCTCGCTCTCTCGCCTCTCTCGCCTCACTTTCTCTCGCCCCTACTGACTCTCTCATTCTCTCGCCCTCTCCCTGTCCCTCTCTCTCCCGTTCTGTGTTTTTATCGTCTACTCCCCTCACTTATTTCGCTTTAAACAAAAAAAATCCCTTCTCTCCCGGCCTATACCTCCTCCGTATATATTATCTCTCCCCTCCCCCAATATCCGCTTTCGACATTTCAGATGTCTGTGTTTTTTCTTTGCCCCCCTTTTTTGTCTGTTCCCCCTTTTTCTCGTTAAAATGAAGGCACTTGGAGAGAAATTTTACACCCGGACGAAAAATCGGTTTTTTTTTTCGAAAAAATTCGAGCCCAATTTCCAAAAAGCAAAAATTTCCCGCGGCCGGGAGTCGAACCCTCGACCCTTGGATTGGTGGACGAGCTCGCTAACCGCTCGGCCATCGCTCTGAACCTCGATTTTTTTGTCGACTTCGCGTGCGTTGAAGACCCAAAATAACGTTTGTAGTTGGTGGTCTGGCTGCCAGCAGGGGCAGATAGCCCAATTTCCGGTCAGGCTCCTAGATTCGGGGAAACAAATTTGCAAAAACTTTTCAAAAACATTTTTTTTGAGAAAATACGCGTCATCGCATAATTCGGGCGACAGAAATCAGGAGGTATTTCAGGCGAGAGAGGAGAGAGAGAGAGAGACAGAGAGAAAGAACGAAAAACGGAACAGGAAATCATAGGCTTGGCCCGTTTTGGTGCCCTTTCTACTGCCTACCAGCTAATTATTTTCCCAAGTCAATTCCGCCCTCCATTTTTGGCTGAATTACCTCTCAAAAAGGCTGTCACTCCCTGAACTGCCTGCCAAACTACCCGCTGCAAATTTTTGATTTGCAAACGTTTACAATTTTGACATTTTTTGGTGTTTTTTGCCTTCAGTGGCCCTGTAAAGGGGTGTAAATTCGTTTTAAAGAAATTGGCAAGACACCGGCCAGGCCACGCCCCCTTCATCGACTTCACTGGCCCTTTAAAACCGGGGAAAATTCGATCTTAAAGGGCTTTTTTGGCTTCAAAGTTAAAAGTTGCGTCGAATTGTGACGTTTTCGAAAATGTCGATTTCTAAAAAATACCGAATTTCGGGATTCTTTAGGAAATTTCAAAATGTCGGCATTTTTCGAAAACCCGATATTTAACATTAGGCAAAAATTCTACAAAACGGTCGATTTTTAAGAAAATATCGATTTTCGGCGTTTTTTGGAAAAAAATGGATTTTTATAAATTTCCCCGATTGTTTTAAATTTTCAGATTTAAAATTTTGATTTTTAAAACTTACAATTTTGACATTTTTTTGGTTTTTTTTTGCGTGTGTAAATTTGTTTTAAAGGGATTGGCAAGTCGCCGGCCAGACCACGCCCCCTTCATCGACTTCACTGGCCCGTTAAAATCGGGGAAAATTCGATCTTAACGGGCTTTTTTGGGTTCAGAGTTAAAAGTTGCGACACGGCCGTCGAATGTGGCTCTATTTTCGTTCTCAGGCCTGTTTGTGTCGTAATTGTCGCGGGATCGGCCAAACTGGCAGCCAGATCACAAGGTACAATGGCTGCAAACGCGACATTTCTTTTTTTTTTGGCTATCGAGTGACCGGAAAAATATGTAGCCATTTTTGCCATCCCTTTAAGCCAAAAAAACAAAACTTTAAATCCCTTTAAGGGCTCAAGGCAACAAGAAAAGGGGCGTGGCTTGTCAAAATGACTTCCCGGCACCTTGAAAATCAATTTACCGACCTTTTAAAGGACCCCTCAAGGCAAGAAATATTGAAAAATTCAGCATTTGATCTTTCTGAAAATTTTGAATTTATTTATGAATTTTTGAAAAAATTAGGACGATTCTGTTTTAATTGTGGTTTTTTAGCGTGCTTTAGAAGTTTATATATGAACGACTGCACGCAGGCCAAGGAAATTACCGAGGTGGGCCATTTTGGCGGGGAATTCGATTTTTCGAAAAAAATTTTTTTTTAATTTTTTTTGGTAGGCCGTCGCCCCGATTTTGATCTACCTGGTCATCGTCAACCTGACCGTGCTGATCTCGTGCAGTTATGTGGCCGTCAAACTATTTCAACATCCGGTAAAAGAGAATTTTACAGAAAAAATTAAAAAGCAAGAATCTGCGGTTTTCTCATTTTATTTAGCGCCGCATTTACATAATTTAGGGCGTATTTTGTAGTCTGACTCCCAGTTGAACTATCCTAACAAAAAATGTTTTCAATTTTCAAAAAGCAAAAAGTCTGCCACGGCCGGGGTTCGAACCCGGGTCGCTCGCCTAGAGGCTTTTCTGTAGTCTGTAGTTTGGATAGAAAAGTTGCAGTCTGTGGTCTGGCTGCCAGATTAGTTATTCCGGCAAAAAAATCCGTTAAATTTTCAAAAAACAAAAAGTTATCCCCGGGCGGGATTCGAACCCTGGCCTTGCGCCTAATAGGAATTCTGTAGTTTGTAGCCTCAAAATAAAAGTCGGAATCTGTAGCCTGCCCTGTAGTTTAGAGCCTCAGTTATTTAACATTCCACAAATGGTCTGTGCTAGCCTACCCAGCCCATTTTCCAGCATGTCCACATCCATTTGCGGCTTATCCTCCTCAACGTCATTTTGGGGATAATGTTCCGCACCGCTTTCACGACGATACGTGCCATGTTACGGCTACGTCTGCTGGTTGGCACGTATACGGTAGGTTCGGTGGTTTTTAAAGGACCGTTGAAGGCAAAAATTGGCTCGCTGGCTCCGGGACTCGCCGGTCCATTTAAAATTGAACTTTTTCACTTTTAAAGGGGCCGGCAAGGGGTAAATTTAATTGGAGTTTGTAGTCTTGCCAGCTTAGCCATGCCATTCGAAAAATCGTTTAAATTTCCAAAAAGCAAAAGCCAGGCGCGGCTGGGGGTAGAACCCGAGTAGCTCGCTTTATGGCTTCATTGTAGTCTGTAGCCTTCTTGCGAAGTTTGCAGCTTGTAGCTTGCATTTCAGCTTAGCGATTAGCACAAAAATTAGAGGCCTAACTACAAACTCCAAAAAATTTGACCCACTCGCAAATTTGGCGAAACACCAATTTTTCTGATTTTCCGCTTGATTGCTGTTGACATTTGGGGGTACTGTAGATGATTGTTATGATCTATTCGAAAGAAGAGAATTAGTTCTATCACATACCAACACTATCATCTACCGTATACCTAGATCTAGCCATTAAAGGGGGCAGAACACACCGAAAATCGCGATTTTGTCACTTTTCCGAATAGCTCCAATTAACGTCAGGAATGCGGTAGCTGGATTCTAGCGTTTGTAGTGTGAGGTCTGGCTACCAGTTTAGCTTTTCCTACAAAAAATATTTTTTTTCAGGACCCGTGCGTATTTCTGGAGGAATATTCGTTCTGTTCGGCCATAAGCTCCATCACACTTCCGGCCGTTAAGGTATTTCTTAAATTAAAATTATCAGCGGCTTTAAAGGTAATCCCAATCACCTATATTCTGATTACGGTAGAAAGGGGCGTGGCCTTGTTCTTTGCCCACAACTACGAGAGGATACGCTGTATTCCGCTGGTGATTCTGGTCGCCGGGGCTACGGTAGGTCATCGATTTCTTATCCAAATAGCCAACTGGCTGGCAGTTAACTAGCAGAGACCCTTTTGGAACTCGGAAATTTTTAGAAATACCAAAAAAAAAGAGTTTTTTGTTTGTTTTGTTTTTCGGAGTTTTTTTTTCGGATTTTCCAACTTGGCGAGCTGGCAGAGATCATTTGAGAAAACGGCATTTGGTCAACTGGGCGACAGATTGAAGGGCAGGCTAGCAGTGAGCATTGCGGAAGCTCGACAAATTGGAATAAAATGCGTTTTCTGAGGGTTTTGGCGGGTTTTCGTAATGGCAAGCTAGCGTTCACCATTAAGGGCACAATTTATATATTTAGGACAATTAAGTAAGATGGAATTGCAAAATAAAACCAATCTCATTAAAAAAGAGCGCAAAAAATCACCCTGGAATGCCAGAAAAAAAAGAAAAATTCCAAAATTTTCGTTAGCCTATCGATATGGCCGTTTTCCCGGGGTGACCTCCAAGCCTAAGCCTAAGCCTAAGCCTAAGCCTAAGCCTAAGCCTAAGCCTAAGCCTAAGCCTAAGCCTAAGCCTAAGCCTAAGCCTAAGCCTAAGCCTAAGCCTAAGCCTAAGCCTAAGCCTAAGCCTAAGCCTAAGCCTAAGCCTACGCCTAAGCCAAAGCCAAGCCAAAGCCAAGCTTAAGCCAAGCCTAAGCCAAGCCAAAGCCAAGCCTAAGCCAAGCCAAAGCCAAGCCGAAGCCAAGCCTGCCAGCCAAAGCCAAGCCTAAGCCAAGCCTGCCAGCCTGCCAAGCCTCGGCCGCCTAAGCCAAGCCTAAGCCAAGCCAAAGCCAAGCCTAAGCCAAGCCTAAGCCAGCCTAGCCAAGCCAAGCCAAGCCTAAGTCAGCCTGCCAGCCTAGCCAAGCCTCCAGCCTAGCCAAGCCTGCCAAGCCTAGCCAAGCCTAGCCAAGCCTAGCCAAGCCAAAGCCAGCCTAAGTCAAGCCTAAGCCAAGCCTAAGCCGCCTAGCCAAGCCTCAAGCCAAGCCCTAAGCCAGCCTAGCCAAGCCTGCCAAGCCTAAGCCAAGCCAAAGCCAAGCCTAAGCCAAGCCTAAGCCAAGCCTAAGCCAAGCCTAAGCCAAGCCTAAGCCCAAGCCTCGGCCAGCCTAAGTCAAGCCTAGCCGGGCCTGCCAAGCCTAAGCCAAGCCTGCCAGCCTGCCAAGCCTAAGCCAAGCCAAAGCCAAGCCTAAGCCAAGCCTAAGCCAAGCCTAAGCCAAGCCTAAGCCAAGCCTAAGCCAAGCCTAAGCCAAGCCTAAGCCAAGCCAAAGCCAAGCCTAAGCCAAGCCTAAGCCAAGCCTAAGCCAAGCCTAAGCCAAGCCTAAGCCAAGCCTAAGCCAAGCCTAAGCCAAGCCAAAGCCAAGCCTAAGCCAAGCCTAAGCCAAGCCAAAGCCAAGCCTAAGCCAAGCCTGCCAAGCCTAAGCCAAGCCTGAGTCTAAAAATCACCTTTTCAGTGGTACAACCTGCCGGAAACGGTGGCGAAAGCGTGGCGCGGTTTCTGGGTGGGCGATTCGGGGCGATATCTACCGTATTGTGCATCGACTACCGTAGGCACTGCCTCGTTTTGGACACTTATCGAATGGACCACACCCGCTAATATCGTTAATGCAGCCGCACTTATTGCACTGCATATTTTGACGAGGAAACGGACGAGGTACGCACTTTAAAAAACGAAAACGGAAAATTAAAAATGATAAAATAAAAAGGATTTTTTCAAGAATTGGTCGATCTTTTGATTGAAATGGCTAAACTGGCTGCTGGCCTACAGACTACAACTTTTGGATCGGGGCTACAGACTACAAAAACACTACAAGGGCGCGGCTCGGGTTCGACCCCCGCCCGCGGCGAACTTTTTACTTTTCGAAGTCCTGCATAGCTTTTGGTCCCAACTAGTAAATTGTCATCCAGACTACATAATACAACTATTCAAATAACTTACAGTACCTCAGGACGCCAATAGGAGCCATTCGGAAAAAGGGTCAAAATCGCGATTTTCGGGGTGTTCTGCCCCCTTTAGATGGCTATATATAGGGATAGGGTAGATGATAGTGTTGGGATGTGATAGAACTGATTCTCCTCTTTCGAATAGATCATAACAATCATCTACAGTACCCCCAAATGTCGACAGGAATCTACCGGAAAATCCGGAAAAAATCAGAATTTGCCTAATTTCCAAATAGCTCTAATTTTTCGTAGTTTGTAGCTAGAAGCCCGGTTTTTTTTTGGAATGGCCCAACTGACAAGTAGGCTACGAACTACACTGCTTTCCGGTCTTTAAAAATACGTAAAAATATTCAATTATTTTCCGGTATTTTTTTGTTTTCAGGCTCTCCCTCAGCTCCTCGCCAATGCTCTCATCACGCTACGAGCTGCGGTGGAGCCTGAAGAGTCTGCGTTGGTTGTTGCCGGCCGTACTTGTCTTTTGTGCGATCAGTTTGGCTATGCAATTCACCTCCATCATCATTGTCAACATCACCATCGCTCCGCAGAGGAATTATGCGATTTTTAAGGCATGTTGTAAACTAGAAAGACGGCTATTTTGTAGTCTGGGTGCCAGTTTAGCGAATTGCGCAAAAATTAGATCTCTAGCTACAGACTACGAAAAGCTAGACACATCCGAAAATTGGGCAAAATATCATTTTTTCCGATTTTCCGCTAGATTCCTGTTGACATTTGGGGGTACTGTAGATGATTGTTATGATCTATTCGAAAGAGGAGAATCAGTTCTATCACATCCCAACACTATCATCTACCCTATCCCTATATCTAGCCAGTTAAAGGGGGCAGAACACAGCGAAAATCGCGAATTTGGCCCTTTCCGAAACGGACCAATTGACGTTTAGGGGTACTGTAGATGATTTTTGAAGTTGTGTTTGGGAGTATGGTTTTTAGTTTATCCATTTCAACTAAAAAATCTATCAAATCTTCAAAAAGCAAAAGGGGATGTCTCGGCAAGGAATCGAACCCGGGTCACCCGCCTGAAGCTTTTCTGTAGCCTGTAGCCCCTTTCTAAAAGTTGTAGTCTTTAGTCTGGTTGCCAGTCCATTCATTCCAAACAAAAAAATCAGCCAAACTCTCAAAAAGCAAAAAGTTTGCTTCGGCGGGGATCGAACCCACGTCCTGCGCCTAGTAGTTTTGTCTATAGTTTGTAGGCCCAATCCAGGAGTTGTAGTCTGTATTTTGACAGCCAGTTAAGCCTTTCCAATCAAAAAATTACCTCAAAACTCAAAAAGCAAAAAGTTCGGCGCCGGAAGGGATCGAACTCTGGGTCTTTGGGGCAAGCTAGCAGAGACCATTTGGGAAGCAGTTTAAAATATCCTAAATTATAGGAATCCTATTCTGCAGCCGTATTCCCTACCATGTACCTCTCGCTCCCATTAATGTGCCTGTGGCGATGCCCGGAATTTCGGCCAAAATGGGGCCGCCACCCGCGACGAGTTGGAGCCGTTCGGCTGGAGACGCAGACCGTGTAGGGCAATCTAGCGGGGATTTTTGGTGGGGAGAGTGGGTGACAGTTTAGCATGCGACAACGTTAAAAATTATTTGTTTCTTTTTAGGGACCCAAACGAGGCGATGCGGCACGTGCTGAACGTGTGGGATATGCACGCACCGCCCCGGAAACCGAAATAAATATTTTTGAGTGCAGTGATCGGGCGTAGTTTGTAGTCTGGCTGTCAGTTTAGCAATTCTCTCAAAAATTGTCGATTCCGCAACAAACTAGAAAAAGTTAGAGCGAATAGAAAAATCGCGAACGCCTAATTTTATCACGGTCCGTCAGATTCCTTTAAACGAGGGATCGGTATACTGTAACCGGTTGTATTTTGTAGTTTTTGCCCCAGTTTAGCGGGTCCTAGAAGGATTATCTTTCTACGGACAAACTACAAAAAGTTGGAGGCAATCGAAAATTCCTAGAATATCGATTTCACGGGTTTCCTGGGGGATTTCCTAATGATGAATGGGGGGTACTGTAGCCACGGCTAGCCTGCCACTTAAAACCCGAAAATATTCAACAATTTTCCTCAAGGTATTAATGCTCGGAATTTCCTCATGATCAAAAATCTAAAACATTTGATTTTTAAAAATATATTTTTATTTTCGGGTCAATGCTCTCTGCCAGCTTGCCCGGCCTGAATTTCGTGATACCAAGAGCCATATCCGCAAAGCATCCCTGCTGGCCTGCCCTAGGGCGCGCAGGAAAAACTATATTTCTCAAACATTCGACACGACCCTCTAATGTAAACAAAACGGGTCGGCGCCCCTCAAAAAGTTATGAAACAACTTATTTTTCAAGTGGCAAAATAATTTATGGCCAAGACCACAACGTCCAGGAGGGTTTCGAGGGTTTCCGTGCGTACGAAGGAGAGACTCATCCGAACGAAGGAGACACTCATCCGAACGAAGGGGAAACTCATCCGAACGAAGGAGAGACTCATCCGAACGAAGGGGAAACTCATCCGAACGAAGGAGAGACTCATCCGAACGAAGGGGAAACTCATCCGAACGAAGGAGAGACTCATCCGAACGAAGGGGAAACTCATCCGAACGAAGGAGAGACTCATCCGAACGAAGGGGAAACTCATCCGAACGAAGGAGACACTCATCCGAACGAAGGGGAAACTCATCCGAACGAAGGAGAGACTCATCCGAACGAAGGGGAAACTCATCCGAACGAAGGAGAGACTCATCCGAACGAAGGAGACACTCATCCGAACGAAGGAGAGACTCATCCGAACGAAGGGGAAACTCATCCGAACGAAGGAGACACTCATCCGAACGAAGGAGAGACTCATCCGAACGAAGGGGAAACTCATCCGAACGAAGGAGACACTCATCCGAACGAAGGAGACACTCATCCGAACCAAGGAGACACACATCCGAACGAAGGAAAGACTCATCCGAACGAAGGGGAAACTCATCCGAACGAAGGAGACACTCATCCGAACGAAGGAGAGACTCATCCGAACGAAGGGGAAACTCATCCGAACGAAGGAGAGACTCATCCGAACGAAGGGGAAACTCATCCGAACGAAGGGGAAACTCATCCGAACGAAGGAGACACACATCCGAACGAAGGAGAGACTCATCCGAACGAAGGGGAAACTCATCCGAACGAAGGAGACACTCATCCGAACGAAGGAGAGACTCATCCGAACGAAGGGGAAACTCATCCGAACGAAGGAGAGACTCATCCGAACGAAGGGGAAACTCATCCGAACGAAGGAGAGACTCATCCGAACGAAGGGGAAACTCATCCGAACGAAGGAGAGACTCATCCGAACGAAGGGGAAACTCATCCGAACGAAGGAGAGACTCATCCGAACGAAGGGGAAACTCATCCGAACGAAGGAGAGACTCATCCGAACGAAGGGGAAACTCATCCGAACGAAGGAGAGACTCATCCGAACGAAGGGGAAACTCATCCGAACGAAGGAGAGACTCATCCGAACGAAGGGGAAACTCATCCGAACGAAGGAGAGACTCATCCGAACGAAGGGGGAAACTCATCCGAACGAAGGAGACACTCATCCGAACGAAGGAGAGACTCATCCGAACGAAGGGGAAACTCATCCGAACGAAGGAGAGACTCATCCGAACGAAGGGGAAACTCATCCGAACGAAGGAGAGACTCATCCGAACGAAGGGGAAACTCATCCGAACGAAGGAGAGACTCATCCGAACGAAGGGGAAACTCATCCGAACGAAGGAGAGACTCATCCGAACGAAGGGGAAACTCATCCGAACGAAGGAGACACTCATCCGAACGAAGGAGACACTCATCCGAACCAAGGAGAGACTCATCCGAACGAAGGAGACACTCATCCGAACGAAGGAGAGACTCATCCGAACGAAGGAGACACTCATCCGAACGAAGGAGAGACTCATCCGAACGAAGGAGACACTCATCCGAACGAAGGAGAGACTCATCCGAACGAAGGGGAAACTCATCCGAACGAAGGAGAGACTCATCCGAACGAAGGGGAAACTCATCCGAACGAAGGAGAGACTCATCCGAACGAAGGGGAAACTCATCCGAACGAAGGAGAGACTCATCCGAACGAAGGGGAAACTCATCCGAACGAAGGAGAGACTCATCCGAACGAAGGGGAAACTCATCCGAACGAAGGAGACACTCATCCGAACGAAGGAGAGACTCATCCGAACGAAGGGGAAACTCATCCGAACGAAGGAGAGACTCATCCGAACGAAGGGGAAACTCATCCGAACGAAGGAGAGACTCATCCGAACGAAGGGAAACTCATCCGAACGAAGGAGAGACTCATCCGAACGAAGGGGAAACTCATCCGAACGAAGGAGAGACTCATCCGAACGAAGGGGAAACTCATCCGAACGAAGGAGAGACTCATCCGAACGAAGGGGAAACTCATCCGAACGAAGGAGAGACTCATCCGAACGAAGGGGAAACTCATCCGAACGAAGGAGAGACTCATCCGAACGAAGGGGAAACTCATCCGAACGAAGGAGAGACTCATCCGAACGAAGGGGAAACTCATCCGAACGAAGGAGAGACTCATCCGAACGAAGGGGAAACTCATCCGAACGAAGGAGAGACTCATCCGAACGAAGGAGAGACTCATCCGAACGAAGGAGACACTCATCCGAACGAAGGAGACACTCATCCGAACCAAGGAGAGACTCATCCGAACGAAGGAGACACTCATCCGAACGAAGGAGACACTCATCCGAACGAAGGGGAAACTCATCCGAACGAAGGAGAGACTCATCCGAACGAAGGGGAAACTCATCCGAACGAAGGAGAGACTCATCCGAACGAAGGGGAAACTCATCCGAACGAAGGAGAGACTCATCCGAACGAAGGAGAGACTCATCCGAACGAAGGAGACACTCATCCGAACGAAGGAGACACTCATCCGAACGAAGGAGAGACTCATCCGAACGAAGGGGAAACTCATCCGAACGAAGGAGAGACTCATCCGAACGAAGGGGAAACTCATCCGAACGAAGGAGAGACTCATCCGAACCAAGGAGAGACTCATCCGAACGAAGGAGACACTCATCCGAACGAAGGAGAGACTCATCCGAACGAAGGGGAAACTCATCCGAACGAAGGAGAGACTCATCCGAACGAAGGGGAAACTCATCCGAACGAAGGAGAGACTCATCCGAACGAAGGGGAAACTCATCCGAACGAAGGAGACACTCATCCGAACGAAGGAGACACTCATCCGAACCAAGGAGAGACTCATCCGAACGAAGGAGACACTCATCCGAACGAAGGAGAGACTCATCCGAACGAAGGAGACACTCATCCGAACGAAGGAGAGACTCATCCGAACGAAGGAGACACTCATCCGAACGAAGGAGAGACTCATCCGAACGAAGGGGAAACTCATCCGAACGAAGGAGAGACTCATCCGAACGAAGGGGAAACTCATCCGAACGAAGGAGACACTCATCCGAACCAAGGAGAGACTCATCCGAACGAAGGAGACACTCATCCGAACCAAGGAGAGACTCATCCGAACGAAGGAGACACTCATCCGAACCAAGGAGAGACTCATCCGAACGAAGGAGACACTCATCCGAACCAAGGAGAGACTCATCCGAACGAAGGAGAGACTCATCCGAACGAAGGGGAAACTCATCCGAACCAAGGAGAGACTCATCCGAACGAAGGAGAGACTCATCCGAACGAAGGAGACACTCATCCGAACCAAGGAGACACTCATCCGAACGAAGGGGAAACTCATCCGAACCAAGGAGACACTCATCCGAACGAAGGGGAAACTCATCCGAACCAAGGAGACACTCATCCGAACGAAGGGGAAACTCATCCGAACCAAGGAGAGACTCATCCGAACGAAGGAGACACTCATCCGAACCAAGGAGAGACTCATCCGAACGAAGGAGACACTCATCCGAACCAAGGAGAGACTCATCCGAACGAAGGAGACACTCATCCGAACCAAGGAGAGACTCATCCGAACGAAGTAGAGACTCATCCGAACGAAGGGGAAACTCATCCGAACCAAGGAGAGACTCATCCGAACGAAGGAGAGACTCATCCGAACGAAGGAGACACTCATCCGAACCAAGGAGAGACTCATCCGAACGAAGGGGAAACTCATCCGAACCAAGGAGACACTCATCCGAACGAAGGGGAAACTCATCCGAACCAAGGAGAGACTCATCCGAACGAAGGAGACACTCATCCGAACGAAGGGGAAACTCATCCGAACCAAGGAGAGACTCATCCGAACGAAGGAGACACTCATCCGAACCAAGGAGAGACTCATCCGAACGAAGGGGAAACTCATCCGAACGAAGGAGAGACTCATCCGAACGAAGGAGAGACTCATCCGAACGAAGGAGACACTCATCCGAACGAAGGGGAAACTCATCCGAACGAAGGAGAGACTCATCCGAACGAAGGGGAAACTCATCCGAACGAAGGAGAGACTCATCCGAACGAAGGAGACACTCATCCGAACGAAGGAGACACTCATCCGAACGAAGGGGAAACTCATCCGAACCAAGGAGAGACTCATCCGAACGAAGGAGACACTCATCCGAACCAAGGAGAGACTCATCCGAACGAAGGAGACACTCATCCGAACCAAGGAGAGACTCATCCGAACGAAGGAGACACTCATCCGAACCAAGGAGAGACTCATCCGAACGAAGGAGACACTCATCCGAACCAAGGAGAGACTCATCCGAACGAAGGAGACACTCATCCGAACGAAGGGGAAACTCATCCGAACCAAGGAGAGACTCATCCGAACGAAGGAGACACTCATCCGAACCAAGGAGAGACTCATCCGAACGAAGGAGACACTCATCCGAACCAAGGAGAGACTCATCCGAACGAAGGAGACACTCATCCGAACCAAGGAGAGACTCATCCGAACGAAGGGGAAACTCATCCGAACGAAGGAGAGACTCATCCGAACGAAGGAGACACTCATCCGAACCAAGGAGAGACTCATCCGAACGAAGGAGAGACTCATCCGAACGAAGGAGACACTCATCCGAACGAAGGGGAAACTCATCCGAACCAAGGAGAGACTCATCCGAACGAAGGAGACACTCATCCGAACCAAGGAGAGACTCATCCGAACGAAGGAGAGACTCATCCGAACGAAGGAGACACTCATCCGAACGAAGGGGAAACTCATCCGAACCAAGGAGAGACTCATCCGAACGAAGGAGACACTCATCCGAACCAAGGAGAGACTCATCCGAACGAAGGAGAGACTCATCCGAACGAAGGGGAAACTCATCCGAACCAAGGAGAGACTCATCCGAACGAAGGAGACACTCATCCGAACGAAGGAGAGACTCATCCGAACGAAGGAGACACTCATCCGAACGAAGGGGAAACTCATCCGAACCAAGGAGAGACTCATCCGAACGAAGGAGAAACTCATCCGAACGAAGGAGAGACTCATCCGAACGAAGGAGACACTCATCCGAACGAAGGGGAAACTCATCCGAACCAAGGAGAGACTCATCCGAACGAAGGAGACACTCATCCGAACCAAGGAGAGACTCATCCGAACGAAGGAGACACTCATCCGAACCAAGGAGAGACTCATCCGAACGAAGGAGAGACTCATCCGAACGAAGGAGACACTCATCCGAACGAAGGGGAAACTCATCCGAACCAAGGAGAGACTCATCCGAACGAAGGAGAAACTCATCCGAACGAAGGAGAGACTCATCCGAACGAAGGAGACACTCATCCGAACGAAGGGAAACTCATCCGAACCAAGGAGAGACTCATCCGAACGAAGGAGACACTCATCCGAACCAAGGAGAGACTCATCCGAACGAAGGAGACACTCATCCGAACCAAGGAGAGACTCATCCGAACGAAGGAGACACTCATCCGAACCAAGGAGAGACTCATCCGAACGAAGGAGACACTCATCCGAACGAAGGGGAAACTCATCCGAACCAAGGAGAGACTCATCCGAACGAAGGAGACACTCATCCGAACGAAGGAGACACTCATCCGAACGAAGGGGAAACTCATCCGAACGAAGGAGAGACTCATCCGAACGAAGGAGACACTCATCCGAACCAAGGAGAGACTCATCCGAACGAAGGAGACACTCATCCGAACCAAGGAGAGACTCATCCGAACGAAGGGGAAACTCATCCGAACGAAGGAGAGACTCATCCGAACGAAGGAGAGACTCATCCGAACGAAGGAGACACTCATCCGAACCAAGGAGACACACATCCGAACGAAGGAAAGACTCATCCGGACTATGGACTCGATTTGTTATGGGGCAGAGAAAGGGAGGTAATCACAATAGTAAAAATCAATCTGGCATCCAGAGTATAGAATACGACTTTTATTTTCAGGCTACAGGCTACAACACAACTACCGGTCACGCGACCTACCGGCGGCTACTTTTTGCTTGTTGAATTTCTCGTTGCTTTTTCGAGTGGAATTCCTAAACCGGAGACGGGACTACAATTTACACCCCATAAAATAGGCTACAGTACCCCTAATCGTCAATGGGAGTGCGTAAATCGCAAGTGTTGCTGTTCTCCCCCCTTTAAATGGCTAGATATAGGGATAGGGTAGATGATAGTGTTGGGATGTGATAGAACTCATTCTCCTCTTTCGAATAGATCATAACAATCATCTACAGTACCCCCAAATGTCAACAGGAATTTATCGGAAAACCGGAAAAATTGGATTTTTGCCAAATTTTCGAACGGCTCTAACTTTTTGTAGGGTGTAGCTGGAACGCTAAATTTTCTACGGTTCGTTAAGCTGGCTAACATAGAGCCTTCCTCTGTATTTCACTCTCCATCTTCTACCGAATCCGGTTGGTTTGGGGCAGCCTGTATAGAAGCGAAAGCCGACAGATGATGCGTTTATTCGAGTTCCGGGCCACATGGAGAGGATTAACAGTCGCGGTGATGGAAAGAAGTATACTTAACAGCCAAAATACTCGGACAATCTGTTGGGAAATCGGCATCAATTTTAACGGATTAATCGGCATTGATCACGCACCATGAATCAACGAATTTACGAGGGGTTGGGGACAGGGTTATTGGATTCGCGGCGACGGCGGGCAGTTGGCATTCCGGTTTCCGGGACTCGATATCCGAGATTTTGCCAGTCTTGAATCCGGCAGGCGACGCATCGGCCTGGAAAGCGGAAGAATGGAAATATACGACCGTTTTCCATCGGATCGGGGCCAAATTTTTACCAGCGATGGGGACCCATAAAAACGATTTGCAGCCGAATTTTCTAAGCAAAATATTTTCAAATAAAAAAGGTTGTATCAAAAGAAAAGTTTATTTTGCCGATTTCACTGGCATTCTGACGGATTTGGGCCTCGAAATGTCTAGCAAAAATGGAGAGGGCATTTTTTCCACCCAAACAATTTTTTGATTTACGAAAATTACGCCTAGATGGGGACTTTTCAACACGTTTATTATCAAAAGTAGCAGAAACCGACCCGAAAAATGGTGATTTTCGGGAAAATTACTCAAAATCGGCATGCCAATTGCGAAAACATTGCCAAAAATAAGCAACAGCGTTTCCAAAAATCCGTTTTTCTGCGATAACTTTTTGATTTTGCAACGTTTTGCTTAGAAAATTCGACTGCATATAGTTTTTATGGGTCCTCATCGCTGCTAAAAATTTGGTCCGGATTGGATGGAAGATGGCCAAATGCCGAGGGGGGTTTGGGACACCCTGTAGAGAACGAGAGAGAGTCAGAGATAGAGAGAGAGAATTCAAAATTGCCGAATTTCAAATTTTTTCGTAAAAAATCTTTTTTTTTTGTTTTTTGAAACACCCTGCAGATGATCGATTAGGCGTTTTTGAGGCGGGTTGTGGGCGTTGCATGGTCGGGTCAACTGACGGTTAGGGGTGCACCGGCAGTCGGGGCGCAGCTTGACGTCGCGGAGGGCATGCCTGCAAAAAATTGGTTCAGCTCATTGGCGCCTGGCTCTGTCGATCCACGCCCGCGGGTACTGGGCTGTTAGCGGGGGGGCACGGGATTTTTTTTGCAGGGGCGGGAACTAATTTTCGGCCGCGGTGATACGGTGCGGCCAAGGGAACGGAAAGCCTTCAAAATTGTACAGGAAAAAACCGGCAAAATTTGTGAATTTTTAAAAATCTTGCAAATATTTTTTGCAGGTTTTTTTCCAAAAACCACAAAAAGAAAAATTTTTGCCAAAAATCTATTGTCTTTGACCGGTTGACCGGAAAATAAAAGTCCGTGCCCCCCCCCCCTTCCGGCTGACACTTTGAAGGCAAATAAGGGCCAAAGATACGCACCGAAAATCGTCAGCGTGAGCCGAGCATATTGGTGGCCCAAAGCGATGGTTCACCCATTGGCCGCCGCCCTGCCCATCGTCCACGCATTTTCGGCAGTCGCCCCGCTGCAATATACAGGGTGTTCACAAAAAAAGTCACATGGCTAACAATATCTGAAGAACCAGGCAACAATTAAAAAGGTCTAATACAAAAAGCAGCCGCTGGCTGGACTTCGGGCTACCCCCTGTGCGCTCCCTCCCTTTCGCCGAAACGCGCGCCACCTGGCTCACTAGGTCCCCGACCCATTTTACTAAGGAAAACTTTCAAAGTTAAATTTAATAATTTAAACGTCAACTTTTTCATAATTTTTTGCATCAGTTTCGGGGTTTCTGACCACGCTCTATCCGAATCCGAAGAGAGCTAAGCTCTAGCTCCTTGCCCCTTCGAGTTGAATTCGGCTTCACACAGACGGACAGGCGGACGCGTCAAGAAAATTATTATAGTTGATGATGCTAGACGAAACGATCGACATTTGAAATCAACGATTCAAAAATTGAATTCCCGCCATTAACGTAGGGCACGTAACGGATGGTGCGATACCTCGGCGTAGACGGGTCGGCGACGGTCTTCAGCAGTTGTGGTCGTGGCGGAGGGCTGGAAACTTTCGCTGCTCAATATCAGAAACCCGCGTAAAAAGCTTAGCAGAGATTCTTTGAGGAATTGAGACGCGAGATTGGGCAGGCTAGCAGAGATTCTTTGAGGAATTGTGAAGCGAGATTGGGCAGGCTAGCAGAGATTCTTTGAGGAATTGAGACGCGAGATTGGGCAGGCTAGCAGAGATTCTTTGAGGAATTGAGACGCGAGATTGGGCAGGCTAGCAGAGATTCTTTGAGGAATTGAGACGCGAGATTGGGCAGGCTAGCAGAGATTCTTTGAGGAATTGTGAAGCGAGATTGGGCAGGCTAGCAGAGATTCTTTTGAGGAATTGAGACGCGAGATTGGGCAGGCTAGCAGAGATTCTTTGAGGAATTGTGAAGCGAGATTGGGCAGGCTAGCAGAGATTCTTTGAGGAATTGAGACGCGAGATTGGGCAGGCTAGCAGAGATTCTTTGAGGAATTGTGAAGCGAGATTGGGCAGGCTAGCAAAGATCCCTTGCTGAGACCTTCAGCGCTTCACAATGTTCGATTTTGCGCTTTTGGAGCCGCCCAATTTGCATCCCGGGCAAAATTCGAAATCTTTCAGTCTGTTGATTTGCGGGATGGCGGATGGTCGGGCAGGCGGTTCTGGACTCTTAGCGGGGGGGGTAATCTCATTTTTCACCCATACTTTACTATCAACGATGCAAAAGGTGTTTTCATGGTATTTTTAGCGGATTTCGATTGCAAGAAACAGAAAAAGTAATAAAAAATCAATTCTAAAAATTTTGAAAATTGCACATTTTGGCGGTTTTTGGTCGTTTCTCATCAATTTTCCAATTTTAATGCAAAATGTTTCGCAGATTTGTACAAGCTTTTATCGCTTGTTATTTGTGGAAACCGTGCCCCTCCTCCCCCCGCTAAGAGTCCAGTACCCGAGCAGGCCAGCAGAGTTGCAAGAAGGGTTCGGCGAGGCGCGCTGCGTGTGCATGTGTATGTGTATGTTGGTTGTCGTGTTTCTAGCACGTACTTTATTCGCCTCAAGGCGCACGAAAAACACGAAAAACACGAAATACAAACAACTCAAGCGAAAGCGTATGCATTAATCGGTGGTCTTTAATGATGTCGTGGCCGGAACGATCTCAGAGCAACTTCTTCTCGCGCTGCCCATTCATTGGTGGTGAAGCAGCCTACAAACAAAATACAGGCTCGCGACTGCTAACGGGTACACCTAACACTAAGCCTAAGCCAAGCCTAAGCCAAGCCTAAGCCAAGCCTAAGCCAAGCCTAAGCCAAGCCTAAGCCAAGCCTAAGCCAAGCCTAAGCCAAGCCTAAGCCAAGCCTAAGCCAAGCCTAAGCCAAGTCTAAGCCAAGCCTAAGCCAAGCCTAAGCCAAGCCTAAGCCAAGCCTAAGCCAAGCCTAAGCCAAGCCTAAGCCAAGCCTAAGCCAAGCCTAAGCCAAGCCTAAGCCAAGCCTAAGCCTAAGCCAAGCCGAAGCCAAGCCTAAGCCAAGCCTAAGCCAAGCCTAGCCTAAGCCAAGCCTAATCCAAGCCGAAGCCAAGCCTAAGCCAAGCCTAAGCCAAGCCTAAGCCAAGCCTAGCCTAAGCCAAGCCCAAGCCCCTAAATCAAGCCTAAATGCCTAAGCCCAAGCCTAAGCCTAAGCCAAGCCTAAGCCAAGCCTAAGCCAAGCCTAAAGCCAAGCCCTAAGCCTAAGCCCAAGCCTAAGCCAAGCCTAGCCTAAAGCCCTAAGCCTAGCCTAAGCCAAGCCTAAGCCAAGCCTAAGCCAAGCCTAAAAGCCCTAAGCTCAAGCCTAAGCCTAAGCCTAAGCCAAGCCTAAGCCAAGCCTAAGCCAAGCCTAAGCCAAGCCTAAGCCAAGCCTAAGCCAAGCCTAAGCCAAGCCTAAGCCAAGCCTAAGCCAAGCCTAAGCCAAGCCTAAGCCTAAGCCCTAAGCCAAGCCTAAGCCAAGCCTAAGCCAAGCCTAAGCCAAGCCTAAGCCAAGCCTAAGCCAAGTCTAAGCCAAGCCTAAGCCAAGCCTAAGCCAAGCCTAAGCCAAGCCTAAGCCAAGCCTAAGCCAAGCCTAAGCCAAGCCTAAGCCAAGCCTAAGCCAAACCTAAGCCAAGCCTAAGCCAAGCCTAAGCCAAGCCGAAGCCAAGCCTAAGCCAAGCCTAAGCCAAGCCTAGCTTAAGCCAAGCCTAATCCAAGCCGAAGCCAAGCCTAAGCCAAGCCTAAGCCAAGCCTAAGCCAAGCCTAAGCCAAGCCTAAGCCAAGCCTAAGCCAAGCCTAAGCCAAGCCTAAGCCTAAGCCTAAGCCAAGCCTAAGCCAAGCCTAAGCCAAGCCTAAGCCAAGCCTAAGCCAAGCCTAAGCCAAGCCTAAGCCAAGCCTAAGCCAAGCCTAAGCCAAGCCCAAGCCAAGCCTAAGCCAAGCCAAGAATCTCTGCTCGCTGGTTCTGTACTGTTAGCGGGGGGGGGCTGCGGTTTTAACAATTTCGGCTTTCCACCCCTGTACCCGTATACCCTATATTATGTATTTTCTGGTCGTTTTTGATTGCTAGAACCCTTTCAAAAACATTTTTCGAAAATTTTGGTTTTTCAACAATTTTTGAAACATTTTTGATCAAAAGTTCAAAAATTTCCCTGAATTATTCCAATTTTTTATATTGTTTTTATTCCAAAAAAAACTGTAGAAAAGGCTACAAGAATGGTGTATATTGCGCCAGAGGGTCAGGTGGAAAAATATTGTCGCCCCCCCCGATATCAGTGCAGTGCCTCAATTCCTCAAAAAATCTCTGCTAGCCTGCCCAATCTCTCTTCTCAATTCCTCAAAGAATCCCTGCTAGCTGGCTGCTATAATGCTTACCGGGTTCGGACCCGGGGGCGGCAGCCGCTGGCGCTTCGGCTTCTGGTCGACGCTCGGCGGCTTGTCCTCGGCCTTGGCCACGTCGTCGTACTTGTGGTCTGGCTTGGCCCTGCTGCTGCTCGTCCTCTCCGGATCCTGCAAATTGTTCGTAATTTAGGAAAATACGTTCGTCGAATTTACTCTAGTTTTTTATGATTATTATTATTATTTTTATTATTATTATTATTAATATAGAGTAGCATAAATAAGGTAATTAACAATGGAGATATTTATTTTGATTTTATTTTTTGACCTTTTTTAATTGACTTTTTTAGTTTTAATATAGTTTTTTAGTTATTTTTAATTAATTTAGTTTGGTAAAATAGTTTTTTTAATTTATTACTATTTTTTTGGAGGACAAATTAAAAGATTGGGTTCAACTCCCCCCCCCCCCCGATATTAGCTGAGTACCGCGTACCTTGTTGGTGGACGAGTTCGACTTGGATGAGGTCGCCGAGCGCTGTGTATTCGACGTATTCAGGGCACTCTTAACCAGCGTTTTTTCCTTTCTTTTTTCAACTGCATTTGCGCAGGGCCCAGTTTTGGGTTCTGGGCTGTTAGCGGGGGGGGGGGGGCTCTTCTCCGTTTTTCCCCCTCCACCCATCAATCAATAATAAAAAAGGTGATTTAACAGTGTTTTTCGTCGTTTTTGATTGCCAGAAAACCAGGAGAAAAATATTTTTGAAAATTTTGAAAATCCCAAAACGCTGAGGGAAAATGCGAAAAAAGGCCAAATTTTGGGATTTTTCAGAAGTTTTGTAAAATTTGTAAACGTATTTTTGACAACTTTCTAGCACACAAAAACGACTCGAAAAAACTATAGAAATACCCTTTTTTGTTATTAATATGTCGGTTGAGGTGGCCAAAAAAAAACAGAAAAGCCCTTCCCCCCGCTAACAGTCCAGTACCAAAAATAGCGTTTAAAACAGACTTTAGAGTATATATGGGTCGGGGCCTGGGGGCGCCGCAAAATGCCCCTCTTGAGGAGCCTTTTGGGGGCGTCTTGGGTGGGGCCGGCGGGCGCCGTGGGTGGGGCATTTTTCCGGTATGCAGCGATGTAAATTGCAAAAGATCATCTGAAAAGCGTTTTTTCGCAATTTGCATCGCTGCATACCGGAAAAATGCCCCACCCACGGCGCCCGCCGGCCCCACCCAAGACGCCCCCAAAAGGCTCCTCGAGAGGGGCATTTTGCGGCGCCCCCAGGCCCCGACCCATATATACTTTAGAGGATGAATTACTGCAGCTCTCGCTCTTCTTGCTCTTGCTCTTGCTCTTGCTCTTCTTGCCGCTCTTTTTGCCGCGCTTCTTCATCTTCTTGGTGCTCGTCGAATGGGAGCGGGCGGCAGAGGTGGATGCGGGCGGCTTCCGCGATGCAGTTGACGACACCGTCTTCTGCAAAACAGACATTAACGTTTCTGAGGAAAATTCGGTGTATGCAGCTAGGGCAAAAGCCCCCCCCCCCTGATAATGCAGAAGAACCAAAAAATCTAAAAAAAAAAATATTCTGGCTTTCGGGTTTGTTTTGTTTGTTTTTTGGGGCTAAAGAAATCGCGGTGAAAGAATACCGGCGGAACCGACGACCAGACCGCGGTCGCGCTCTGGTAGGAGGAGAGTGGCGGCGACGTGTTGTTCGGCACGAGCACGCTCTGCTCCTCGAGCTGGCCGCACGCCTGAAAATGCAGTGGTTCGTCGGTTTTATTGCGGTTCGTCGCCTATTTCCCCTAAAAACAACAACGACTCAAATACGAGGAAATTGCCGTTTCCTAAAATAATTTTTTTTTATTCTATTGATTTATTTTTATTTTATTGGGCTAGATATCGATCGATTTATGTCGAAAAACACGATTAAGGCACGTTTCGGGTACCCCGCTTATTAAGTTTCCCATTTTTTGGGGAGATAAATGATAAATTGCATTTTAACTCCCTTCCGCCCCCCCCCGATATTAGCCGAGTACCTTGGCAGGGCTGGTGATGATCTGGGGGTCGGTCGTGCTACTTGCTCCGCATTTTCCATTGGCGCCCTCGCGGAACACGTCGACCGCCAGGGTGGAGCCATCAAACAGCTGAAAATCGGAAGTTACAGCTCGGGGCGGCTGGCCCCTATCGTTTTTTCACAATTTTGTTTCTGGTCTGTTAGCGGGGGGGGACGAAATTTTCAAAATAGAGGCAAAAAAAAATGGAAAGTGGTCCCCCCCGCTAACCGCCCAGTTCTGTGGTCAAATGTTGCGTAAACCAAAAAAAACGGCAAAAAATCTCCATTTTTCGCCACCGCCCAAAAATGGCCGTTTTTCGGCTTAATTAGGCATAAGCCATGTCCAACGTACCTTGTTAGCGTCGAGCTCGCGGGCGGCTGAGGTAGAGGGGGGAGCATCAGATGGAGCCGGAGGAGTCGACGACTGGGCAGCGATCTTCGCCTGTAATCAGGAGGATAAAACTGTATATTTCCACGCGGCCAAAAACCATCCAAAAAACATTTTCCCCAACGTATCGCAATTTTGGGCGCAAAAATCGGAAAAAATTGCATTTTGCTCGAATTTGCACATTTTTGCTGGAAAAATCGCTCATTTTTGAATGGTTGCAAATGAAAAAACATTTCGGCATTTTCAAGGTTGTCGATATTTCCAAAGTCCCAATCGAATCGGCGTTCCAAAATTCGGTTCTTGTGTATTCCCGGGGGGGGGGAAAGAATTCGCGGGGGAAACTGAACTTTTTTTTGGCCCAAGCCTAGATTTTTTATATAAATAGTGGAAGTGTTTTTAAATTGTCTATAGTTATTCCTAAACATAAAAACTTTACAAAATTTAATTAAAAAATTTAATTTTAGGTCGAAAAATCGATTTTTTCGGTCCAAAAATGACCAAATTTTCGACTTTTTCAAGCGTTTTTCTAACTTTTTAAAAAGTTTTTCCGATTCAAATAGGCTTAATTTTTGCTCAAAACAATGTAAAAACACTTTATATTTGATTACTATCCCCACCAGGCCCGACAAAAAAAAGTTCAGTTTCCCCCCCCCGCGAATTCTTTCCCCCCCCCGGGAATACACAAGAACCCAAAATTCCAATAAAAAATCTATTTTTTTTTCATAAGAATTTTCGCAAAAAAAAATCCAGAAAATCTCGCCATTAACTAAAAGCCTAAATTAAGCCCAAGTCCAAGCCAATTTTCTACGAATCAAAACCGACTAAAAACACTAGAAAACTATCTTTCTTGCTATTAAGAGGGAAGTATAGGTGGAAAAATCGAAATCCATTTCCCCCCCCGCTACGAGCCCAGAACCAAAATTTGATTGCTAGCCGCCTCAGCCCCATCCCACGTACCGGCTCGGTGGCGGGCTGAGGGGCGGCGCGGCCACGGTGCGACGCTGTGCTGGGCGAGGTTGTCGGCTTGATGGCAGGGTTGAGCGCTCGGGCGTCTGGGTCGCGAGGCGGCTCGGTGGGCGCCTGCAAACAGGAAAATAAAACGATGGTTGTTTCGCATTCCCGGGGGGATTTATGAAAAAACGTCAATGCACAGCCTCCTAAGTCTGCCCAGACCGAAGTCAAGCCAAGCCTGAGCCGCCGCTAAACCTAAAACTAAGCCTGGACCTACAAATCCTAAATTTAAGCCTACTAATCGTTCAAAACAATGTAGAAATGGATCCGCAACTTATCAACAAAGCAAAAAAAATTAGGCCTGCGCCGAAAAAACTTCTCCACCGCGGTGATGTCGATGAACTGCCAGATGCCGTCTGCAAGTTCCTGGAGAACGGATGGCGCAGCTGGCGGTTGGACGATCTTCTTGCTGACGCGCAGATCAGCAATGGAACGACGCTCCTGCAATATCGACTTGTTGATCAGATCATCAATATATCATGGCTGACCGGGCTGGTTCGCCTTCAGAAGGTGCCTACAAAACAATGGCATACCAATTTGCGCAATTCGTCGTAGGGGGCCACGGATTGTTCGTACATCTTGACGAAAGTCACTCGCTGAAAACCGCGAACTGATTGCTGTTGATCGGCTGGGGGGTGACCACCCGCCTAGGTTTTGGCTAAGGCTAAGGTTCATGCTTAGGCTTAGCCTCAGCATTAGGCTTGGCTTAGGCTTAGCTTAGGTTTAGGCTTAGGCTTAACTTAGTCTTAGTCTTAAGCTCAGGCTTAGGCTTAGGCTTACGTATAGGCTTAGTTTAGGCTCAGGCTTAACTTAGGCTTAACTTAGGCTTAACTTAGGCTCAGGCTTAGGCTTAGATAAGGCAAAGGCTCATCCCACGTACGCTTTCCGTGACATTCGCCATGGCGTTGGTGATGTTGCTCAGGGCATCGGTAGCCGCGCTCATGGAACCCATACCTGCACCATCATTCAGAATCTAAATTGGGTCATTTGCTAGCGTCACCAAAAACCCCGACCTCGATTGCCAGGGGAAAATCAGTGCCGAGCAGAGTAGGCGAGTGCTCGCCGGCTTCGAGACGGGCACTCTGAATCGCAGGGATTGATGGAATCAGCAGTGGTACTGGTGTGTTAGCGTGGGGACCGCGGGGGGCGGGGGCGTGGGGCGGCGTGGCGGGATTCTCGAACATTTTTGACTTTTTAAAAATGACCAAAAAAGGGGCTAAATTTTCGAATTTTCAAAATTTTTTTTGCAAATATTTTTCTACAAATTTTCCAGCAATCAAAAACGGCTAAAAACCCGATTAAAAAAAATGCCTTTTATTACGATTTCTGGGACGCAATGGCGATAGGTGGAAGGAGAAAAAGGAGAAAAGGTGCCCCCCCCCCGCGGCCCCTAACAGTCCAGTAGCAACTGAGTTTCAACCTCTTCGAAGACGCCCTGCGACTCGACGTCCGCCACCTTCATCCTGGGCGCGAATCCAAAGAACGAGCAGACGGCCGTCCAGGCTCGCTGCAGGCACGTCGGCTCGTTTCGGATCTATAACACACGGTGTATGGCATACAGGGCGTCCCCCGTCACAAAAAGGGGTACTTGTGTATTCCCGGGGGGGAGGGGAACCAACTTTTTCCTGTCTGCCCCTGGTGGGGATAGTAATCAAATTAAAGTGTTTTCATATGGTTTTTAGCAAAACGTAAGCCGATTTGAATCGGAAAAACTTTTGAAAAAGTTAGAAAAACGCTTGAAAAAGTCGAAAATTTGGTCATTTTTGGGTCGAAAAAAATTGATTTTGGGGCCTAAAATTAAAGCTTTTAATTAAATTTTTCGACCAAAATTTTTGACTCTATCAACGTTTTTTAAAGTTTTTAGATAGTTTTTCTAACTTAAATCGAGTTATATATTACCAAAAAAACACCATTAAAATACTTTCTGTTAAGCTAGTAAGCATTTCTAGACCCATACGAAAAAGTCTCCCCCGATAATGTGAAAGCACCACCAGGAGAAGATGCTTTAGTGCGGAATTTTGCGCTGATTCAAAAAAAGCCCCCGCGTTTTCGGAAACCGTGAAACGAGCGAAATAAAAAAAAAATTTGTTTTTTTTGGGTCGCAACCGCGACAAAGGGCGAAAGCTGGCAAAAGGAACAGGGGGATTTGGTCACTTACGCCGAGGGAGGTGCTGCTCCCAGATGCAGGAACACGGGTGAAGCGGCGCGCTTGCATCAGCTGGATGTTGCCGTGTATCTGAAAGGACACCGTACAGCCGAGTCATCGAGCCATGCCCACTTTGGCCAGCTCGAGCGGGAGTTGCTTCTGCACGGCCGCAGTGCCCAAGAGGAATTCTTTCTCCTAAAGAAACGAACCAATTTAGGATAAACTAGAAATAACTACGTCACGGAAGAACTGCTCGACGATGACCTTCGACCTGTTCCATTCCGTCTCCGCGAGCAGCAAGTTCTTCCGGTGCTGATCTTCTTCCTGCAAAACGGGTCGTATTGCATCGGATCGGTCCCAAAAACTGTGGAGCGAACCATCGCGGGTTCGACCCCCGCCCGGTGCGCAATTTCTTGCTTTTAACGAAATTTTGATCGTTCTGACGGTCTTTAAGCCCGGTTTTTAGATGCAAAAACCTCAAAAAATGATTTCAACAATATTTCGCAAATTTTCACCTGCTAGGTCAAAATGTAGGCAAAACGACGAGTCCAGGTAAAAATTTGCGGATTATCAAAATTTTCAAGATATTGTATAAAAGTATACAGGGTGTCCCAAAAAAACCCCCCCCCCCTCTAGAAGCCGTCAATCGGATCGGATCGGAATGATTTTTATACCAATCGAAAGCTCTCGGAAAGGCGAGAAAACAAGCGGGTTTCGTTTTCTAAGATTTAATCTGATTCTATCGATATTTCAGGTTTTCCTAAAAAGCCGAGAATTTTTATCAGGAATTTCGCAATTAGCATGCAGATCTCGCATAAATCAGCAGTTTTCATGGTTTTTGGACATAAAATTAGCAAATAAAAAGGCTTAATTAAGAAATTCAACCCTCCTTGTTTTCTCGCCTTTTCGAGAGCTTTCGATAGATACCTAAATCGTAAAAATCGGAATCGACTGCGGACCGCTAGGTAGGGGGGGGTTTTTTTTTGGGACACCCTGTAGAGATAAAGGTATATTTTGCGCGAAATGAATCGAAATCTGTTTGCGGATTTAAATCGAAATGGCACCCATGCCGCTAGAAACCGACCAATTCCGGAGCGGAGGGCCGCGCGAGGCTCATCAGGACGGTGACGATGATGCCGATGGGGAGCAGCTTGTCGACGTCCACAGCGAGACGCCGCCGGTCGGGCCTTCGAGCCGAAACGTAGAAGGCCGAATTCACGCTGGCGCAGCGGCCGTCGCGCACCCGGAAATGCAAATCTACGCAGATTCGTGTGTTGTATGCAAATCGAGCGAATTCCGATGTTGGACGCGTGGCCAAATTTTGCCCCCCAGTAATTCCTAACGACCATACCCCGAAATATAGACCATTTTTCTAGCATTTTCCATAGTTTTTAATACTAAACAAATACAAAAAATATCAAATTTTCCAAAATTTTTTTTTAGTTTTTGCCGAAAAATGTATGAAAAATGACCAAAAAATTCGAAGCTAAACACCTTAAAAAAATTTGCGAATTTTCTAGCAATCAAAAACTGCCAAAAACACAATTTTAAAAAGATTGTATAGTTTAGAAATATATATATTAACATTTTATCATCAAAATAACAAAAATAGTTTAGAAACTTAGAAAGTTAAAATAATTGCAATTAACAATTTAACTTGGGGACCCTGTACGTGTCATAAATCCCCCCGTAATTGTGCAGGCGAATTTTTGGCCCCTTTTCAGCCAGATTTTTTGGCGAATCTTGGAATTCTTTATCCAACAAAGAGGCGATGGCAAAAATCAGCGGCAGCAACAAGCAAAAAAACTAATAACTCCCAAAAAACAATTAATTTTCTAGAGTTATAATAATTATCATAAAACCCGTGTGGCCTGGAGAGTCATTAAAAGGAAGGAAAAACCCCCACAAAAAATTACTTTATATTTTTGCGGCTTCTCCGAGCGACAGCGACCCGTCGATGAGACCCCGGATTACGGTGGGCAGGGCGTCGAGCTGGAAAATTGGCGTAATATAACTCTAAAAACTGTCCTCCTAAATGATCTCTGCTAGCCTGCCCCCTCCCCCTCTCTCTCATCCCAAATGATCTCTGCTAGCCTGCCCCCTCCCCTCTCTCTCTCATCCCAAATGATCTCTGCTAGCCTGCCCCCTCCCCTCTCTCTCATCCCAAATGATCTCTGCTAGCCTGCCCCCTCCCCCTCTCTCTCATCCCAAATGATCTCTGCTAGCCTGCCCCCTCCCCCTCTCTCTCATCCCAAATGATCTCTGCTAGCCTGCCCCTCCCCCCTCTCTCTCATCCCAAATGATCTCTGCTAGCCTGCCCCCTCCCCCTCTCTCTCATCCCAAATGATCTCTGCTAGCCTGCCCCCTCCCCCTCTCTCTCATCCCAAATGATCTCTGCTAGCCTGCCCCCTCCCCCTCTCTCTCATCCCAAATGATCTCTGCTAGCCTGCCCCCTCCCCCTCTCTCTCATCCCAAATGATCTCTGCTAGCCTGCCCCCTCCCCCTCTCTCTCATCCCAAATGATCTCTGCTAGCCTGCCCCCTCCCCCTCTCTCTCATCCCAAATGATCTCTGCTAGCCTGCCCCCTATGCATTTTGCGGCAAGCTAGCAGAGGTTCTTCGCCGAAAAATCAAAATCTAAAAATCACCTTAACCCTGGCCTGCTGCTGGCTCAACGCGATGCGTACGGTGACAGTGTGCGGCCGCTGGAGTGTCTCGTAGTCTACCGTAATCGCAAACGGGGTCCCGGGGCGATCGGTGCGCGCGTACCGCTTCCCGATCGAGCCGTTCGAGTCGTCCTGGAAACGGGAAAAATGAAGAGTAAAAAATTCAAAATTTGGTGCTTTCGCATTATCGGGGGGAGGGGATAAAAATTTTCGTGTACGTCGAGAAATGCCGCGTACCTTAATAGGAAGCAAAAGAAAACTATTTTTCGGCTGGAAAAACTTTAAATCTCGAAAATTTTTGGCAAAAAAAGTCGATTTTTTGGTATGTTTGGTGCAAAATTTGTAATTCTTTTACGTTTGGGAATAGCAAAAAAAAAACAAAACAGGCTAGAGACACTTCGAATGTCTATATTAGAACATTTGGTTCTGCAAAAAAAATTTTTGTCCTTCCCCCCGATAATGCGAAAGATCCGAAAATTTCCTAGGTAAAAATGACTGACCACCGTGTACGGTATACGCGCCCGATGAAGCAGACGGCATACGGTGGTCGTGGCGGTGGCCAATTCCGCCGAATTCGAGGCGAGCGGCAGGACGGCGCATTTTATGGGGGCCACCTCGGGGTGTAGGCACACGAACTGGAAAAAAATACATTTAGAAAAAAGGGGAAGACGCGCACCATTCTCAACTCGTCGCCCGCTCGTTGGCGAAATGAGTGCTCGAGAAGCGCGTACATAATCCGCCCCATTCCAAATGACGGCTCGATGACGGCCGGGGTGTAGCTTGTAGTCGTGCCCTGGAAAAGGTGGTGTAATCGATGAAAGAGAAAGAGAGAGAGCGAGAGTGAGCGAGAGTGAGAGAGACAGTGAGAGTTAGTGAGAGAGTGAGGGAGAGAGCGAGTGAGAGAGATAGAAGGCGAGAGAGGGAGATAGAGAGTGTGAGAGACAGTGAGAGAGAGACAGAGAGAGAGAGATAGAGAGCTAGATAGATAGAGAGACAAGGAGAGTGAGAGGGGAGAGAACAAGAGAAAGAGTGAAAGTGGGGGAGAGAGCAAGAGAAAGAGAGAGGGAGAGAGAGACAGCGAGAGAGAGAGAGTGAGAGAGGGGGTAGATTCCGAATTTCATACCGTAATCGGATCGCGGCGCTCGGCTTTTAGCGGGACGTTCGTTGCCTCGGAGTGCTGCCCCAAATCGTAGGTGCCTCTATCCGCGATCCCAGCACATTCGATCCAGCCATAACTCGTGAACACCTCCGCGTCCCAGCATTCCTGGAAAAATCCGCAAATTGTCGCTGCTAGCGTGCCCTAGATGTTCCCCAAAATTCTCTGCTGGTCTGCCCCAATCTTCAGCGTACCTTGGCGTAGTGTGCCATTTCGTTGCGTTGATGCTGGCGGAAGCGGAGCCGTTGAGGGTCGATGCCAATCTCAAAAAAAAAACAATAAAATCCACCGATAAACGCCAATTTTCAGGCCTTTGAAGGTCCATCGAGGCCAGAAAAACCTACGGATTTTTCGGAAAAATTAGCAAAAATTTTCGGGGTGCAGATTTGAGTGCAGAAGCAAAAAAATTTGACACTTTTAAAGGGCCATTAAAGCCAGCAAAAGCTGTCAATTTTTAATTTTTAATTATGAGAAAAATCGAACCTCAAAAAAAAACCCAGCGATAAACGCCCGTTCTCAAACCCATTAAAGGGATGCCGACGGCATAGTCAATCGGTTACGCGCTGGAAAGAAAATGTCTCTGCGCCTCTCCCCTAGGCAGCTCTCTGCCAGTGTGCGAAAGAATTTTCAGGTGGCCAAATGGACCAGCGCCGGGGGTTGACTGACAGGGGTTAGGACCAGCGCCGCGTTAGCGGCAAGAATTTTTGTGGCTTTTTGGGTCAATATCCAAAAAAAAAATAGCGAAAATAAATGTCGGCTTCCTGGATTTTCTGTAATTTAATGTTGTTGCGCTGCTTACAGTTCTTTCTTCTTTCTTTCACAGTACGAAAAATTGCGCATGAAAATTTGGGCAGAAATCGACACAGGAAAGAAATTTGCAATGCCACGACGGCCCCAGAAGAGACGGCGCTGGTCCCGAAAAAGCCCTTCAAAAAAGTCGGATGAAGCTGAAACTTGGATGAGGGGAAGAGAAAACTGGGAACTCGTTTAGGGAAAAAAATTGGGATGGATCGGCCAGTGGAGTAGAGGGTAGCATGCAATTGAATGGATTTTTCCCATATAAAACGGCAAAAACCGCCGCGTCCAATTAAGCGCCGGTCCATAACTCAGCGATAACGTAATGGATCAGAACGGTTGATACGTAGTTAGAAAAAGGAAAGACCGGGCTTTCAGCCGACTAGAAGTTCTAAGTGGGAAAATTGAGACGGAGGGCGTAAAAAGGAAAAAACGGAACATCTACCGAACCCACGGCCAATTAAGGCGACCAGTCGCTGGTCGATAGCTACAGGCGGAAGCAAGTATGGGCTAAAATCGTTTTGTCAGATGATAGCCAGTACCAGAGGCTATTCGGCAAGAAAGTTTGGTGGTGATTGATTGCCCTTTCGGGGACCAACGGGGACCAGAAGTGGGGGCGCGGCCAAATGAGCTGATTCCGGAGGTGAAGCGGCGCTGGTCCGGAAAAAGGGTTTTAAACTGGAAGCATGCTTTTGCTTTTTTGGCAGTAGTTGGGCAGACCCTAGACCTAGCCTGACAACAAATTTCAAACCGCTAGCGCCAAGGACGGGGTAGTTAGAGCATTTTCAAGGGATTCACCAGCGTGCACCGGGATGGGGGGCCGATAAAAAATTATTTCTCCGCATTCCACTGGCCGATCTTGACCAAATTTTACCCAAACCTTGATCGGGGAAATGTATAATGCTCATTTAATTGCCAGCTTGGTCCAAGCCGTTCACCCGTAACGAGCGTTGTCACATCTATACCCACCATGACCGATCATACTTTACTCCTTTGCCGACTTCTGCCGAAATTTTCGTGCATGATTTTTCTTGGTGTCGTATCGTTACTATGATTTAAATGGTGGAATTTTTTAGAAATAGTTATTCAGAACCCCTTACCTCGCAGATAACATATATCGATAATACTATATTTTTTTTTGCCATAATGGCGCCGTAGGCGCCGAAAAATCGCGATTTAACTAACCCTAGGACCAGCGCCTAGGGCCATTTTTGGGACCAGCGCCGGCCGCCCCACGGCCAAACCCTTCGCACACTGCTCTCTGCCCTGTTGGCTACTTGCCAATTTGTTGATGGGGGGGATGAATTTTCGTAAAACGCTAGAATTAATTGGGAAATTTGGGTTTTGTTTTTTAGGAAGGAAAAATCGACGCGGATTTTCAAAAAAAAACAACAAATTCACGATTTAAAGGACCCTTGAAGTCAGGAAAAGCTGCCAATTTTTAATTTTTAAATTTTCAGGAAAAACGAACCTTTTGCAGGTAGTCATTGGTGCGCGCCAGGTAGTAGCCGATCGTCTCGCTCGAGATGTGGCCCTAAATGTGGCAATGAATTCTTAAAAATCGAAAATTCTTGTAAAGACCTAAAAGCTGCGAAGGATAGTAATTACCTTCGCCACGGCCTCGCCAAGACGAATCAATTGCGGCGCCGCGCCGTTTTGCTGCGCCTCATCGGTGTAGAGGTTGATCAAGGAGTCTCGCACCTGAAAAAGCAAAAAATGCTTTTCCTCTATGACAACCATTGTTCTACATAAAAATAATAAATTCCGCCTTCGCAAAAGCCCGAAAACCCCTAGGAATATGAAATTAAAGATCGAAAAAAATTTTCTATTGCAAAAAAGCTTTTTAAAAAAATTAAAAAACTAGCACAATTTTTGCTAAAATCAATGAAATTACCTCGGCAAATCTGGGATGGCTCGTGTCCAGCGGATCGTGGAAATGCTCAATTTCGCACATTTGGAACTCGCGGGTCCTGATTAGGCCGTGCTTCGGGTTCACCTCGTTCCGGAAGGACGTTCCCGTTTGCGCGATCGCAAACGGCATTTTTCCCTGCAAAAAAAAAACACATTTAAAACATTGCGGAAATCAAATCGATTAAAAATAGTCGAGGGCATGCCAGCAGAGAGCGTTTGCCGAAAAACCGGGAGATTCCCCCAAAATACCTCTGCTAGCCTGCCTCCGAATTGAAAATGGAGGGCGAAACCCTAGGGCAGGCCAGCAGAGGGTCTTTAGGAACACCGCGAATTTCCTCAAATTGCCTCTGCTAGCAGGCCCTCAATTCCTAAATGCTGAAAGCTACTTTTTCCGGTTACAGGAGAGAGAGAGAGAGAGAGAGAGAGAGAGAGAGTGAGAGTGAGAGAGAGAAAGAGAGAACGAGAGAGAGGGAGAGAGAGAGGGAGAGAGAACGAGAGAGAGAGAGAGAGAAAGAGAGAGCGAGAGAGAAGCATATTGCCGAAATGATAATTTGTATAAACAATAATAATAAAAATGCACCTTATTCGCGTGTAAAAAATTGTTGAATTCGACGAATATCCCCTGGGCCGTCTCGGGGCGAAGGAAGGATGTGTCGCCGGAGAAGCCGCTCTGAATGAATAAAATTAGAAATTAAAAAAAATAATTAAAATTAAAAATTATTAATTGTAGAAGTAATAAAAATAATAACAATAGTAAAAAAGTAGTAGTAAAAAAAAGTAATAAAATTTATTTTGATGATTTAAACAGAGAACTTCTATTAAAACTAATTTAATTTTAATCTACTACCTGAACGGCAAACATTTGGTTGGCCATCTCGGGCTCGGAGACGCCATTCCCGGCCGGCGACTTCAGCGCGTATTTCTTGATCGTCGCCCACAGCTCGTCGCGGCCCATATTTCCCACCCGGGCCAGCAGGGCGCTTTTCGTTTCGTCGTCGATTTTTGTCTAAAAATCGATAAAAATTGCTCCAAAATATCAGACCTTGCCGAGGGCGTCCCTGACAAAGTGGTCGGCTCGAAAATATTCCCCATTCCCGACGTCGCGCACCATCCAATCGGCAAAACGGTCCACGTGGCCGGAAGCCCTGAAAAAAAATTTTTGGGAGATTTTTGCAAAAAAAAAAATTTAGAAGAGCCTTTTTTAAAGGGGTCTATCTATCCGGAATCTATCGGGTCATTTTGACTTCCGAGCCCCTTCAAAGTCCGGATTTCCAAAAGATCACCTTTCAGCAAAAAAAAAACCCCGAAAATTCCCAACTTCCTCAACGATATCTGCTAGTCCGCCCAAAACTGCGCAAATTCCTCAAAAAGGACCTCTGCTAGCCTGTCCAAATACAGAATTAGCCGATTTTTAACACATCTTTCCAGAAAACCGAGTTTCCACAAAGAACCTCTGCTAGCCCCCCCGGTTAAAAACCCCGTAATTTTCGATACCTCAAAACGCATTGCGGGGTGATGTGCGGGGCCGTAATTTGGAGCATTTGTTCCTCGAAAAGTGGTCCTCCCATAACCCGATCAGAAGTCCCACCTCGGAAAAAAAATAATTGGAGTGTCGCCGCCGTTTTTAAAGTCCCGATTTCCCAAAACATAAATTTTTAGCAAAAAGCCCAAAAATCTTCAGTTTCCTCAAAGAACCTCTGCTAGCCTGCCTCAACCCTGCATTAAAGTTCTAGAAAAATCTCTGCAGTATCGCTGCTAGGATGCCCTTTTCTTTTTCTTAAAGAGTCTCTGCTAGCCCGCCTCAACACTGCATTAAAATTCTAGCAAAATCTCTGCCCTTTCCTATCCTTTTCTTTTTAACCCATTGTAATCGGCTGGACCAACATTTAAACATGGAATTAAGTTTTAAGCGTTAGTTCGCGGACCCATTAATGAAAACGCGACCCCTTTCAAAGTCCAAAATTTTTGAAACATGAAACTTTTCCCGACTTAATTAATTATTTTAATTTTGTTACCTTAAAACACAATCCGGGGTGATGTGCGGTGCGGTAATCTGGAGCATTTGTTCCTCGAAAACGAAGTGGTCCTCCCACAACCCGATCAGATTCGCCATCATCTTCGAGCCGTTACTGCCCAGGTAGAGCCTAAAAAAAATCGATAAAAACATCAATCAAAAAATCTAAAACTGTTATTTTAAGCCTTTAGCATCTCTAGAGACAAATAAGAATAACTTAGAAAATTCTAAATTTGCGAAAATCATTTTTAAAGTGCAAAACCGCTGCTGTAAGGTTCGAGAAAAGTTTTTTCGTGTTTTTTTAATTTTTTTAAAAATTGCTCTGAAAGTCCGAGAACGCAAAAATCAAAATGGAAAAACCGAAAACCGTCGCTAAAAATACTACAAAATCTTTTTCAATCTGTTAGCATCTCTAAGCATCTCAACTGAATCTCTGAAAACAAATAATAATCATTTTAAAAGTTCTGAATTGCTAAATTCATTTTTGAAAATCATAACATTTTTTTAAAATTAAAACAAATTGAGTTTTTGAATATTCACAATGACAAAATTAACTCAAAAAAATTCACTTACAATCCCGGAAATGCGCCATAGATGCCGAAAGCCGGCCGATAGAAGTGGCAGGCGTGGAGGAGGGTGTCGAGTTTTGTGCGGTCGAATGACGCCTCCAATGGGGCCAGTTCCAGCTCCTGAATAATAAAAATTGTGATTAGCGTTTTAATCTAATAGTCTACCTTCTCTTCTAATCTCCGTTTGCGCTCCTTCAACTCGTCGACGGCCTTGTCCAGCGTGTCCTTGGCGGCTTTTTCCGACTTGAGCCTGAACACGGCGTCGGCCGCCTCCCTGGCGTCGTGTCGGAGGGGGCGCAGCTCCTGCAAAATCGGATTGATGTATAAATAGTTATTTTAACTTTTTTTACAAGTTTTAAACGTAAAAACTTTATAACTAGTTATTTCGACGAACAATGGCCGATTTTTGGCCCAAATTTCGACTTTTCAAAGCGTACCAGGGTTGAAAAGCCGCTTCGCGACTTTTCAACCCTGGCCCCGTCTCGGACCCCATACTATCCTTCCGTTTGCATTCCTCCATTCAGAAGACAAAAAAAAGATGAAAAGAACCCTTTCTGCCTCTTTATATAGGCGATCACCCACTTCCGCTCTATGCTAATTATCCCTAACAAAGAGGTTTTTACAAAACCCTAAATTTAATAGCGAAAATGGCTAATTTTTGAAAATATGATATGTGTGCAGTCATGCCTAGACCATTACACACCTAATGACGTATAGAACGTAGCCTAATACCCGTCCCTTCTTGAGATATCCTCCGGACAGACAGACGGAAATGGATGCAAAGTGGCACACACACAAAAACACTATTTTTTTTATATACCAGGGTTGAAAAACCGCTTCGCGGCTTTTCAACCCTGGCCCCGTCTAGGATCGATGCAGTTATAGACTTTGCATAATCCTTGCCGAAAACCGCTCACCAAAAAATGAAAAGCGCGCCCTCTCTTCCTTTTATAAGCCATTTCCACTTCCGGCGTATACTAATTGCTCCTAACAAAGAGGTTGGCGGAAAATTTTACAAAAACCTAATTTTAATATCGAAAATATTTTTCAAAACTTTTATGTGTGTGCAGTCGATTCGGGACCTTTCTTTACCTATTCACGCTTCTTCCCTATCGAAAAAATGCTTCCCCGAGGCTGTAGGTGCGGAACATCCAAACGGAAGTGCATGCAAATATACACACACAAACACTATTTTTTTATATATAGTAGGATTTAGCTAATTTAGATGGTTTCTAGTTGAAATATAGTTATTTCTATCAAAAACATTAGTAAAACACTTGCTGCTGGGAAATTGGACACTCCTAGACTCCTTGAAAATGCAAAAGAACCCTACCCTCGATAATGCAAAAGAAACCGTTTTAGAAAAGACTGAAAAACCCGGTCGTTGATTTACAAAATACCTTATAAGGTCCCCCATTTTCGCCGCAAAATCATACGTTTGATCCGCGCGAAAACGCCACAAAAAAGTTTTTAAAACCAAGTTTCTCGGTGTTCCATAGAAAAATTTGCCAAAAATAACTCTTCTATCAAACTTCAAGCTTTCAAAACGCTCTGTGACGAGTGGCGCAGCTGCTGGCACCGCTGCACGGTTGCTGGCGAAACAAAACTTGGCGCGGATGCTAACAGAGCTTTTTGCACGGCTGCCGCTAGACAAGCTGCAGAGACCGCAAGAGGAAAGTAAGTCGTTTTGAACCGCATGAGCAATCATTGAATAGAATCGAGTTACTAGGTCAACGCTACAAGATGCTCGACAGGCCTATCGTCAACGTTCAATCGTAGGTTCAACAAGAAGAAAAAACCGTAAACTCCGATCGATGGACAATACAAAGCGAAAGAGAAGCGATCCACTACACGATAGCGACGATCGAATGCATCAACCCCTAGCCAAAAACCAATAAAAACAAATAAGCAATGCTATTTTTAGATGCTGTAAAATAAGCGTTAGGTGTGCCGGCAGCCGTGCCAAAGCCATTTTTAGCCCGCTTGCCGGCGCGGCGTGCCGGCAGGCGTGCCACCGGCACAGTAGCCGTTGCGACATCGGCCGCCGCGCCGATTATGTGCTGGCAGCCGCGCCATTCGAAACAGAGGGCACATCTGCACGGCACGGCTGCCGGCGCGGTAGATGGCACAGCTGCCGGCAGGCCACTGTCGCTAACCGTGTTACTTGGCGCAGCTGCCGGCGCGGTAACGCCCTCCGGCACGTCTGCTGGCGAACCAAAACCTGGCGCGGCTGCCAGCACAGTTTTTCGCACGGCTGCCGGGAGGCCTTGGACGGCTCCACGGAGGCCAGACGCGGCACGGCTGCCGGCATGGTAACGCCCTCCGGCACGGCTGCAGGATTGCTGGCGAAACAAAACTTGGGCGGATGCTAGCAGAGCTTTTTGCACGGCTGCCGATAGACAAGCTGCAGAGACCGCAAGCGAAAAGTAAGTCGTTTTGAACGCATTGAATAGAATCGAGTTAATAGGTCAACGCTACAAGAGGCTCGACAGGCCTATCGTCAACGTTTAATCGTAGGTTCAACAAGAAAAGACCGTAAACTCCGATCGATGAACAAGACAAAGCGAAAGAAACCAGCTATTTTAGTTATTGCTGCTGCTCCCGTTTCAACTACACGATAGCGACGATCGAATGCATCAACTCCTAGCCAAAAACCAATAAAAACAAATAAGCAATGCTATTTTTATATGCTGTAAAATAAGCGCTAAGTGTGCCGGCTCAGCCCGCTTGACGGCGCGACATCGGCAGTCGCGCCGATTGTGTGCTGGCATCCGCGCCATTCGAAACAGAGAACTTAGCAAAAACTTCGGCCTCGCGCCAATTATTGTTTTTTAGTGATAACCTGCGTTAAAAAAACCGGTTGGCACTCTTCAATTTGCATGCTCTTCGCGAATTCTAGAAAGAAAAAAGTGAAAAACGGCTCCTCTACGCGTTTTTATAGGTTATCCCCCATCCGGTATACGCTAATTGTTTCCTACAAAAGAGGGTGACCGAACCGCGCTCAAAAACTTCGTGTTCCGTTTTCTAGCGTATCTCAGGTGCTGTATTTGGTGCTAATGAGCGTGGGTCATCGTCTGTGTTAAAAAAGTACCCCCTAAATGCCCAGATCGGGCAAATTCCTTCTAAAATTTTCCCTAGAGGTGCCTTTTCGTTTTAATAAAAGTTGCCAAAACTTTAGCTATCATAGCAATGTGCCATATAAAACAATACACGCATATTAGCGCATAGACGAATTAGATAATTCGCTAGCTAAAAGGGAAAAATGACCTTTAAAAAATAAGCTTTTCCGTTTTCGGTCATGGTTTTCGGGGTAAAACTCGGGAAAAGGCATTCAAAAACTTGAACTAAAAAATTGTTCCACTTTTAAAAGTTGTGAAACTTAAAGTGAAATAATACTTTACCACTTTAAAAATACAGAAACTTGAGCGAACTTATGAACTAGATAATTCGCTAGCTAAATAGGAGAAAATAGCTCTACAAACCAAGTTTGCCGATTTTCGGTCTTCGTTTTCTAGCGAAAAACTCCGAAAAATCGCATTAAAAAACTTTTGTTTAGTTTGTAGCGTATTTCCGGTCCGGTATTTAGCTCTAATAGTCAAATTAAACTATTTAACAGATTAAAATATACCCTCTCAATCCCCGGATCGGCCAAATTCCTCAGATACTCGGAGAGGTGCTGCCGAAATTTGCGGGTCACGGCTTTTCCCTGGGCGCTGTTGGGGAGGGCGGATTGTTTGGCTGTCACCTTCACGTTCCCGGATACTGCTACCTTCATAAATACTTTTACTACATAAATATAACAAAAAAATACCTTAAAAAACGGTTTGCCTGCTGCTTGCCGGCATATCCTTGCGAGAAACATGCGGGCATCCGGTTTTTACCTGAAAAACTGAGCTACGAGGCGCCGAATAGATCCGAATCGCTTAAAATAGCATCAATGTGAACAGAAAACTTTTGAAAAACATTTTTAAGGTGAAATCGCGTTTTCCGAGATTTCAAATCTGAAAAATGGCGACTATTCAATTCCCGAGCAATAAAACGTCTAAATTTGGTGAATATAGACGCTAGCTATCTATTACTAGCGTTTCCGTACAAAAAAAAGTGATTCTCAAAGAAATAAGGGCGAAATTGGCGTAAACAAAACTAATTTCGTGGATGACTAGCTCGAAAACGAAAGTTCTGCGCTTTCTAAAGCTTCTGATACAGTTTTGTTCAGCCTATCTAACAGCTGCTTTTTCAAAACAAACTATCTCTAGAATCAAGTGCTACAAGCTTTCCAAACGAAAGTGGTAAAGTCACGGGCTTTAGCACCTCGAAAGCCGGTCGTTTCTTGGGTTATAAACTTTCTAAAACGGATTTTCCTACACATTTCAATCTGGGCCATCTAATAGGGACTTTTTCAAAAGTTACTTTAGCTATTTTAAAAAGTCTAACATTTTTTATAAAAAGTTTTGCAGTTTTTTATGCGAAAAGCGGGCCCGGCCCAGGGCTACACGACCCTCCTATCGACGCCGGATTTCCATGGCGTGATGAAATTGTCTGGGTCTTCAGAAATTGATGTTTTATACAAAAATCAATCGTTTCTAAACGTTTTTCGATGTAATTCACTCTTCTAATCGGTTTTAGCCTATTTTTTGCAGATGCCCACGACCGACTTGGACCCGGGGGCGGCGGCGCTCGGCCGAAAATGCGTAAAATGCGAGAGCCCGGGAATACTTTCCGGTGGGTTTTTGATGGTATTTTCGAAAGTTTAGCACTCAATTTTTGGGCCTCAGAAGTTGTAGAAGCTTGCTGTTGTGATTTTCTGTCAGAAAATGGGTTCCTAAAGCTTAAATTCACGATATTGGAGCTGCAGAATAGCTTGTTCTAGCAAAAGTTCTCACCAACTGTTGTCAGATTCGGTTGAAAATTTCAGAATAACTTCAGCATGCGTGGATCTAGCTGTACGCCAATTTTGGGCCCGAAATAAGCGAATACAACAAGGTTCCAACCTAGCTTTAGTGGGACTTGCCCCAAAAAATTGGTATTTTTCGAGAAAGTGCTCGCCAAAATATGTCCGATTGGGCTGAAAAGTGCAGAATAACTTTAGAGGACGAAGATCTAGCTGTTGGCAAAGTTTAGGCCAGAAATAATGGGATATAAAAAAGTTATCACCTAGTTTTGGTGGGTTTGGCCTCAAAAATTCTTATTTTTGAAAAAGTGCTCGCTAAAATCTGTCCGTTTTGGCTCAAAATTTCAGAATAACTTCAAAAGACGTAGATCTAGCTGTTGGCAAAGTTTTTAGGTCGATGAAACCCAAAATAAAAAAGTTATAACAAGATGACGAGGGCCGTTTTTGCAGGGATCGACGCGAAGAAGGCGGTCTACTGCCGGCCGTGCTTCGTCCAGATGGTCAAGCACAAGTTCCGGTCGGCACTCGGGAAACGCAGGGTTTATAAGGTACGAAAAGTGGCTGCTCAGGTCCTTGGGTCCACCCAAAATCCGGTTGTATTCCACCTCCACCTGGATTTGGGGTGGAACGCATGGAAATCGGCTGGATTTCGGGTGGACGCACAGGGAATCGAGTGGAAACACGACGCAACGCGTGCCGCACGCGACGCGGCACGTGGAAATCGAGTGGAAACCGGGCGGATCCGGTCGATTTCCAACTGATTTACCGCGCATCCACCCGCAATCCGGTCGATTTCCACGTGGAATCCGGTCGCGTCCGCTACTGGAATTCCGATCGATTTCACGAGCAGATGCAGACCGGATTTCGGGTGGACCCGAGGACCTGAGTGTATTTTCAGTAGTAGTAGATTTGATAAGAATCGATTTTTTCGAATAAAACCTATTTTCGTTTCTAAACTGCTTTTTTTACGATTTCGAGACGTGAAAACATTACAAACTTTATTAAAAGATACCAAGATATCTAATTAAAAGTTTTTAGAGAGTTTTTCTAATTGGAATATGTTTTATGAATTTATGGGTTGTAGCTACCGTTTTTTCCAGGACGGCGCCTCGAAGGAGACGCTGCTGGTGTTTGACGGCTCCCCGGCGGCGGCGCTGGCCCTCGGCCAACTCGTCGAATCGAAGCGCGAGACCGACCACCGGAAGTTGATGATCGAGCCCACGGTAAGGGCTTAAATTTTTTATTTTTATCGATTTTTTGAATTAATTCGCCAATTTGCAAATCCATTTTTTAATTGAACGTTTCTGCTTCAAAATTGTGTTTCAAAAACTTTGGGCGGTTAATTTGAGCGGCATTTAATTAATGGGGTGAACTTTTTGGCTTGAACTACAAAATCGAGGCCTATTCTAGGATATTTTTGGTATTTAATAAAAGTATTATATTTCACCTGTATTTGGAAATTTTGCTGTGGGAAAAACATAATTTTAGACCTAGCATCTCGCCTGGAATTTCAAATTTTCTTTTTTTTTTTTCAAATTCATCTTAATTAGGAAATCATGTTTCGACGAATTTAGGCTGCTAATTTGAGCGGCATTTAATTAATGGGGTGAACTTTTTGGCTTGAACTACAAAATCTAGGCCTATTTTAGAATATTTTTGGTATTTAATAAAAGTATTATATTTCACCTTTTTTCTGGAAATTTTGCTGTGGGAAAAACATAATTCCTCCTAGCATCTCGCCTGGAATTTCAAATTTATCTTAGTTAGAAAATCATGTTTCAAAGAATTTAGGCTCGTAATTTGAGCGGCATTTAGTTAATGCGGGAAGGGTATTGGCTGGGAACTACAAAGTTTGTACAAACTACAAAATCTAGGCCTATTTTTTAGGTGATTTTTGGATTTAATAGATTTAGCCTTTTTTTGGAGCGTTTGCTTTAGGAAAAAGCATAATTTTATCATTATAATATCGTTAGAATTGCAAATTTATTTTTTTTCGCATAGAAAATGATGTTTCAAACACTTTAGGCTGTTGTTTTGAGCGGCATTTAATTAATCGGGTCAACTGAAAACTGCAAACTACAAAATCAAGTCCTATTTTTTAGGATATTTTTGGATTTAATAGATTTAACCTTTTTTTTGGAGCGTTTGATTAAGGAAAAGCATAATTCCTCCTAGCATCTCGCATGGATTTTCAAATTTTCTTTTTTTTTTAAATTTATCTTAATTAGAAAATCATGTTTCGAAGAATTTAGGCTCTTAATTTGAGCGGCATTTAATTAATGCGGTGACCGTTTCTAATTATTTCCATTTTTTTTGAGGTGCTGTTGACGCTGGAGACTACAGACCCCGAGCGAGCCGGTCGAATCCTACAACGATATGCGGAAATTGGGGCCAAGCTGGCCGAGCCGGGGATTGGAATCCCGTTCCGGATAGCACACATCGCCGCCGGGCTGCAGAAGAACATCGAGTTGAGGGTGGACAGTGGAGAGCAATATATCGGAAAGGAGCAGGTAAATTTTTAAATTAATTGTTTACAAATTTAAAACTATTTAAAATTACAAAATATTTCAAAAAATTGAAAAACTTTTGAATTTTAATTTATCGATTTTTACATGTTTTGTTTTGCGGTTTTCTATTATGGATATTATTAAGAGATTAACAGGAAAAGTTTAGTGTTCAAAAATTGATGCAAACCGTTTAAAAAATCAGCTTTTTTTCAGGAAAAGTTAAGTTTTGATTTTGGAAAACTTTAGAAGTATTGAATAATTTGATTCTTGGCTTTATGGGGTTGTTTTTTGTTGTTTTTGTTATTAACAAAATTAGTTCATTAAAATTTGGCTTAGATACGGCCTTCAAAAAAAATTGAAAAATCGTTTTCATATTTTTGTAAATTTTGAATTATTTCCATTCTTTTTTTGTAAAATCGTAACTTTATTTGTATTACCATTTTAAAGATGTAGAAAATTAATGGCTGGTTTTTTGCTATTGAATTGCTTATTTTATTTTTTTCAGATCGCCATCTACGAGCGCCTTCTCTCGGCGATGCAATCGACTACGGCACGCTCCGAAATGACGCGGCTATTCGGGGAGCTGCTGGCCGCTCGATTTGCCGCCGCTACCGGCATTGGTGCGTTTTGTTTTTTTTTTCATTTTTTGATTGATTCGAAGTCGAATTATTTCGAAAAAAAAAGGTTTTTTGCTCATTATCTGGCGAAACATGTCATTTCATTTTATTATCGTCTAACAAAAATAAATTAGGTTTTTTTCTCATTTTCCGACGAAACATGCCATTTTAATTTTATTGGCTTTAAAAAATTTTTTGTTTTAAATTTAAAGGTGATTAAGCGATTTTAAAAACGCGCTTAAACTAGATTTAGTTTTTAGTTTTTTTTTGTTTAAATAATTTTTAAATGGGCCCTAATTTTCGACGGGGTTGGATCATTTCAAATTCATTTTCAACATAAATTTCTATGCTAAATTTTGCCAGGAGACGTATTTAACGCGTGCAATCCTTGTATTAACTGAAAAAATTAGGTTCTTAGGCTATTTCGGTTTAATAATATTTTTTTTATAGATTTTTTGTCTTATTAATTCGATGTTTTTTTGCAGACAAAATCTGGCTGCCCCGGACCGGTGACGATCTGTCGAAGGACGTCGTCTCGTTTTTCTCACTTGGCAAGGGTATGGTGTTTTTTTGATGTAAATTAAAATATGAGAAAAATTTTTACTAATAAGATGTTTTTGGAAAAAGTTAATTTTTTCGAGGTAAAAAGGTGACATTTTTTTTGGGCTTTACAAAACTGATTATTAATGTTAAATCTTTCCATTTTTGGCAAGGTACCGAAATTTTCAAAAAAAAAATCTTCAAATTGTTTGATTCTTTT